ACAGGCCTGCGGGGCAGCCTCGTTGTGGCGTACGGATATCGGCGAAGGGACGAGACGTAATATGATTTGTGGCAAAGTGAGTGCTGCACATATCTAGTGCATATAATTTTTAGAGTAATCAATTCAAAATAGCTAATAGATAAGAAGTAAGTGTAGCAGAAGGTGTCGGTGTACTTGACGAGTATGTGTTATGAAGCGAGTGACGCGGGAAGATCGGCTCGACAGGCTCGACAGGCTCGACACTGATACTACGTGTTGTATAAATGTGTATTAATTCAACTGTTTGTATATATCATAGGATAAAGTAACACGTTTATGTAATTTTACGAAGGAGTAAACTCGTCATGAAGCAACGTAATTGAAATTAAATGTTCTATTTATTTAAAAAAAATCTTCCTCTACATGTTTGGCATGGTCCTTTAATATTAAAAAATCTCCAAATGCGCAAGTGTTTTATTTTACATAATTTTTAACAGTGTTCCTGACGGAGAAGGTTGGCAATTCATCTATATTTTTTTACTAGCTGTTCCCGTGCGACTTTATTCGCATAAAATTATCAAAATCGTTTTATTGATTACAAAGAGCATATAAGTCAGAGTCGGGACTTAGAACAAAGAATAAGTTCGGTCTGACACCTGCCAAACTCACTTCTCGTGGCAAAAAGTTACCAGGATAAAAATATTCAATTTAAATTTTTCCGACATAATGAAAAAACATGTGCACCAACCTAACAAAAATCATTAGTGAAGGGCTGTTATAATCGATACCTCGATATCGATATCGATTAAATGTAGGGTGATTGGGTGGCCCTTTTTAATACAATCTCATATTTCAAATAACTTCAATTAGGCTCAATGTAAAATTATTCGTAATGTAATTTTTCATTTACTGACATTGAACCTAAATTACCTAAAGGGAAGCAAATAAATAAAATAATCACCAAAATTACATTTATTTATTTTATTTGCAAGGCATCGCCAAGTAATACTTTAAGTATAGTGTTTCTTTTTGTGAAATAATAATTGTCTAGGGTAACTGTCAAATAATAATTTTGTATACCTACCTTCATTCCTAATAGACACATTAGAATTTACGATAAAACCTTTTCCTTCCTTCAAAAATTTTCAGGTAACAATTTCAATCCATCCACCCAGTTTCCGGTATTTTACATTTTTTTTTCCTTTTAATTATACGTTGATCTGTATCTGTATTTATATTCACAATTTCAAGTTTGTGGGACTGCTAAAAGTACCTTAGAATTATGTTTACACGTGCGTTTCTGTAAAATGTGAAGGATTCAATTAACGATATATACATACATGTCTTATTTTTTTTAAAGAGAGTGTAATTCGTTTTTGAAAATGTAAGGGATATTAATGTTTTATACAAGCATATCGACAGTGGAAACTCCCCATTACATTGAGAAACAAAAAATATCGATAATAAAATTATAATGACAACTGTAAACTAGATACATCACTAGCACAAAATAAATTTTTCAAATTTAACTTTATACAACTAATTAAAAGTACCATGATAGCTTTACATTTACGTTTTTTAATAATTAAATCATTAATAAATGATTACCGGTTCCCATCCAATGCGTCATAAAATCTCTTTTTTGACCGACTTCCCAAAAGAAGGAGGTACTCATTTCGTCGATATGTTTTTTTTATGTGTGTGTTACGGCATAACTCCGCCGCTAGTGGACCGGTTTTGATAATTTTTTTTTTATCCGAAAGGTAATGCTTGCAGGTGGGTCCCATTTTTTTGTTTAATTTTTGGAGTCTAAGACTACGACGTAGTTAA